ACTGTTAAATTCGCATCGTCCAGCTGCTCGAGGACCGCGCAAATATCTGTTAGGTGCTGCTCGACGAATCCCCTAACTCCAGGTACAACCTCTGTCTCATCCCTGTCTACTGGCCCTTTAATAGGAAAGTCATCCAGAAAAACTTCAACCTTATCAGGGATGAAGTCCTTGAGGACGGCTACCATGGCTCTCTGAAAAACGGCTACCCCATTAGTCCAACCCATTGGAACAACCATCATTTGAATTAGTCCCAATGGCGTATGCATAGCTGTGAGGTGTCTGTCCCTAGGGTCAAGCGGTACCTCATCATAGCCCGAGAACAGATCACAGACCGAAATAATCGACCTACCTGCTGCGCCTTCTGCCAGTAAATCGGCGTGTGGCACGGAACCCACGTCTCGTATCGTCACCGCGTTGACATTCTGAAGGTCCTGGATCCATCGAATCTTGCCATTCGGCTTCCGTAGGAAGAACCATCGATTAGCATAAGCACTATCAGACGGCTCAGCAACGTGGGAAATCATTTTTTCTTTCAGGAAAGCGATAACTTCTTCCTTCTCCTTCTGGGCGTACTTCCATCCCGCGTCATTCCAAGGGACATGCGGAATCGTATAAATTTTTGCTGGCTTAGCGTATCGAGGATCAATCCTACCTCGCTCCGCGTCGCTGAAAGCTATGACCTTATCACATGTCTTCGGGATTTCTATCACGCGTTCTCGCTCCTGTGGGGTCAAATTTCCATCTCCGATGTCCATCCCTGCTATCCTTTCTTCCGTTAAGCGTTGTGGCTCCTTTTTCTTTCTTTCTTTGATTTTTTTCGCGATCTCTTCTTCTGATACCCCTTCCAGTGCCGATCGCTCGCGGCCCACCACCGCTGGCTTAACTTTTTGAGCTACTCGCTTGTGTCGCTTGGGTAGCCCCCCATAGGGGGCCGTGCCCTTAAAAAAGACACGGATACCACACCGCCAAATTCCTCATCCTTTTCCTTCGGGTACGAGTTGCCGTCCACTATTAGCCGACTCCCTAAGTCTTCTACCTCCACCATCCTACCTTCTTCTTCTGTGAGCAGTGATCCATATCTCTTCTCGCAAAATCGCACCGCGCGGCCGAAGATGGGTAAAGACCTAATCTGATCACTGGGCCTTGCACCCACAGCAAGAGCTGCTCTGTTCCTCGGGTCCCGAGGCTCCACTGTCTCAATCATCACCCGTGTCCCGTCTGGCTTGCTAATGGACAATGTTTGGCTCCCATCAGGTCGCTCTATCGTCACCGCATGCACGTGGCTCAGCCACGCATGTCGGAGCTGCAGTTCTTGACCGCAAAAACAGACAGGGTCACTCTCACTCCTTGGACTTCTATGGCTGCCTTGTGACAAACCCCAGTGATCTGTTGCTTTCTCCCATCAACCGTCTCTATCTCGAACTGGTACGACCTATCGAGGCCCAGTCCAACCTGTACTGCCAGGTCCTCGTCTATGATGACAGCCTCACTGTCGTTATCAATCACAGCATCGAGTACCGCTCCATCGCTTATAATCGTCTCCACGGCCCCACTACCAAGTATATAAAACTTGTCTGGAGGCACACCTTCCATTCCATCGAGAAGAACTGTCGCCATGCGATCCTCTCTAGCAGTCACCCCCGTTACTGCTACCGTAGAAGCTTCCGCCTTAAGGGCCCCCTGACCCTCCTCCGATAGAGGTATGCGAGTCTTCCGCGTGATCATCTGTAACTCTTCACGAGTTGGCTTCGATGCCGCCAGGTACTCCAGAATAGAGCACTGCATGGGTTGCCGAAGAGCCCGCCTCAGTGGCTCAACCGTGCCAATCTCGTCCAACGAACTCTTCATTAAGAACTTCTTCACTCCCCTCTTTCGTGGCGAAAGGATAACCTCCTCTCCATCAATCCGCTGCCCGTCCTTCTCCGTCATCACGTAGTCCGTGTCAGTCTTCTTCGATGTAGACCCTCTTGCTGACTTGGTGGCTGCCACCCTTATGGGTGAGGTCGCGATATCCCCCTCAAAGATTATCTTGATGCTCTGGCTCCTGACCGGCTCCATTCCTTTACTCGTCTTTATTCCCCTTGCTTCGACGTTCTCCTTCATCGAAGGAAACATTGATACATCTCTCAGATCATCTGCCCACTTGACGTACTTGCGGTCGTCAAGCACGACAAGTCCCTCATCTATTGTCCGTTTGAGATCCGGGCAATCCCTCTTGATATGATCTTTTCCTCTACAGTAGACGCATGAGTTCCTCGGAGTAGACGCCCTGTCGTCTGCGCCTCTAGACATCGAATTTCTGGCCGTGTTGGGGTCAGGCGACTTTGGATATGTTTCTGATAAGACACCATATCCCCTTCTCTCATTTCGACTGCGCAAATCGTTGCGCCGGTCTCCTCCAGACCCTCCTTGCTCATACTGCCCTCGCGAGTCATTCCGGCGGTCCCCCGAGTCATAGCGTCCTCGTGACTCATCGCGCCGGTCCCCTCGGTTGTACCATCCTCGCGTCTCGTCGCGCTGCTCTCTCGCATCTCCTCCGCGCTCAAACCGTCCGCGTGACCCATCTTGTCGTTCCCAGTCCCGATCTCCTCTCTAATATCTACTTCCTCTGTAGCCATCTCGACTCGACCTCTCGTATCTGTCGTCCCTATATCCATCCCGGTCCGATCTCTC